TATACAGCAAGTAGGGCCAAGGAGAACGGAAACACTCATTTCTCAAAAAGTAAAGGGAATCTAGCGGTCTCACTCGATCATAAGGTGGGAAATATATAAATCTAGTGAGCTAATAATGTTCGAAAGGAATCTAATGCATATGTATATGGAAAATGGTGCATTGGCCAGGTCGGTCGGTAAGGGAACTTAGAGTGCAAATGCCAGGGAGAACGGAAGCGCTCAGATCTCGCATAGTACACGGAATCTAGTGGTCTCACTCAAATAGAAGGTAGGAAATAAATTCATCTAGTGAACGTAAGGGATTGAAAGGTAACTAACGCACATGTGTGGAGAAAATGGTGCATCGGCCAGTCTGGCCGGCATTTCGCACTTATAGTGCAAGTAGGGCCAAGGAGAACGGAAACGCTCATTTCTCAAAAAAGTAAAGGGAATCTAGCGGTCTCACTCGATCAGAAGGTGGGAAATATATAAATCTAGTGAGCTAATAAGGTTCGAAAGGAATCTAATACATATGTATATGGAAAATGGTGCATTGGCCAGGTCGGTCAGTATGGGAACTTAAAATGCAAATGCCAGGGAGAACGGAAGCGCTCAGATCTCGCATAGTACACGGAATCTAGTGGTCTCACTCAAATAGAAGGTAGGAAAAAAATTCATCTAGTGAACGGAAGGGTTTGAAAGGTCACTAACGCACATGTGTAGAGAAAATGGTGCATCGGCCAGTCTGGCCGGCATTTCGCACTTATCGTGCAAGTAGGGCCAAGGAGAATGGAAACGCTCATTTCTCAAAAGTAAAGGGAATCTAGCGGTCTCACTCGATCAGAAGGTGGGAAATATATAAATCTAGTGAGCTAATAAGGTTCAAAAGGAATCTAATGCATATGTATATGGAAAGTGGTGCATTGGCCAGGTCGGTCAGTATGGGAACTTAGAGTGCAAATGTCAGGGAGAACGGAAGCGCTCAGATCTCGCATAATACACGGAATCTAGTGGTCTCACTCAAATATAAGGTAGGAAATAAATTCATCTAGTGAACGTAAGGGTTTGAAAGGTAACTAACGCACATGTGTAGAGAAAATGGTGCATCGGCCAGTCTGGCCGGCATTTCGCACTTATAGTGCAAGTAGGGCCAAGGAGAACGGAAACGCTCATTTCTCAAAAAGTAAAGGGAATCTAGCAGTCTCACTCGATCAAAAGGTGGGAAATATATAAATCTAGTGAGCTTATAAGGTTCAAAAGGAATCTAATGCATATGTATATGGAAAGTGGTGCATTGGCCAGGTCGGTCAGTATGGGAACTTAAAGTGCAAATGCCTGGGAGAACGGAACCGCTCAGATCTCGCATAATACACGGAATCTAGTGGTCTCACTCAATTATAAGGTAGGAAATATATTCATCTAGTGAACGTAAGGGTTTGAAAGGTAACTAATGCACATGTGTAGAGAAAATGGTGCATCGGCCAGTCTGGCCGGCATTTCGCACTCATAGTGCAGGTGGGGCTAGGTAGAACGGAAACGCTCGTTTCTCAAAAAGTAGAGGGAATCTAACGGTCTCACTCGATCAGAAGGTGGGAAATATATAAATCTAGTCAGCTAAAAAGGTTTCAAATGTATTCAACGCACATGTATAGAGGAAATGGTGCATTGGCCAGGTCGGTCAGTATCGGAACTTAAAATGCAAATGCCAGGGAGAACGGAAGCGCTCAGATCTCGCATAGTACACGGAATCAAGTGGTCTCACTCAAATAGAAAGTAGGAAATATATTCATCTAGTGAACGTAAGGGTTTGAAAGGTAACTAACACACATGTGTAGAGAAAATTGTGCATCGGCCAGTCTGGCCGGCATTTCGCACTTATCTTGCACCTAGGGCCAAGGAAAACGAAAACGCTCATTTCTCAAAAAGTAGAGGGAATCTAGTGGTCTCACTCGATCAGAAGGTGGGAAATATATAAATCTAGTGAGCCAATAAGGTTCGAAAGGAATCTAATGCATATGTATACGGAAAATGGTGCATTGGCCAGGTCGGTCAGTATGGGAACTTAGAGTGCAAATGCTAGGGAGAACGGAAGCGCTCAGATCTCGCATAGTACACGGAATCTAGTGGTCTCACTCAAATAGATGGTAGGAAATAAATTCATCTAGTGAACGTAAGGGTTCGAAAAGTAACTAACGCACATGTGTAGAGAAAATGGTGCATCGGCCAGTCTGGCCGGCATTTCGCACTTATAGTGCAAGTAGGGCCAAGGAGAACGGAAACGCTAATTTCTCAAAAAGTAAAGGGAATCTAGCAGTCTCACTCGATTAGAAGGTGGGAAATATATAAATCTAGTGAAATTATAAGGTTCGAAAGGAATCTAATGCAGATGTATATGGAAAATGGTGCATTGGCCAGGTCGGTCAGTATGGGAACTTAGAGTGCAAATGCCTGGGAGAACAGAACCGCTCAGATCTCGCATAATACACGGAATCTAGTGGTCTCACTCAAATATAAGGTAGGAAATATATTCATCTAGTGAACGTAAGGGTTTGAAAGGTAACTAACGCACATGTGTAGAGAAAATTGTGCATCGGCCAGTCTGGCCGGCATTTCGCACTTATAGTGCAAGTAGGGCCAAGGAGAACGGAAACGCTCATTTCTCAGAAAGTAAAGGGAATCTAGCCGGATCACTCGATCAAAAGGTGGGAAATATAGAAATCTAGTGAGCTAATAAGGTTCGGAAGGAATCTAATGTATATGTATATGGAAAGTGGTGCATTGGCCAGGTCGGTCAGTATGGAAACTTAGAGTGCAAATGCCAGGGAGAATGGAAGCGCTCAGATCTCGCATAGTACACGGAATCTAGTGGTCTCACTCAAATAGAAGGTAGGAAATAAATTCATCTAGTGAACGTAAGGGTTTGAAAGGTAACTAACGCACATGTGTAGAGAAAATGGTGCATCGGCCAGTCTTGCCGGCATTTCGCACTTATAGTGCAAGTAGGGCCAAGGAGAACGGAAACGCTCATTTCTCAAAAAAGTAAAGGGAATCTAGCGGTCTCACTCGATCAAAAGGTGGGAAATATATAAATCTAGTGAGCTAATAAGGTTTGAAAGGAATCTAATGCATATGTATATAGAAAGTGGTGCATTGGCCAGGTCGGTCAGTATGGGAACTTCAGTGCAAATGCCTGGGAGAACAGAACCGCTCAGATCTCGCATAATACACGGAATCTAGTGGTCTCACTCAAATATAAGGTAGGAAATATATTCATCTAGTGAACCTAAGGGTTTGAAAGGTAACTAACGCACATGTGTAGAGAAAATTGTGCATCGGCCAGTCTAGCCGGCATTTCGCACTCAGAGTGCAAGTAGGGCCAAGGATAACGGAAACGCTCATTTCTCAGAAAGTAAAGGGAATCTAGCGGGATCACTCGATCAAAAGGTGGGAAATATATAAATCTAGTGAGCTAATAAGGTTCAGAAGGAATCTAATGCATATGTATATGGAAAGTGGTGCATTGGCCAGGTCGGTCACTATGGGAAGTTAGAGTGCAAATGCCTGGGAGAACGGTACCGCTCAGATCTTGCATAATACACGGAATCTAGTGGTCTCACTCAAATATATGGTAGGAAATATATTCATCTAGTGAACGTAAGGGTTGAAAGGTAACTAATGCACATGTGTAGAGAAAATGGTGCATCGGCCAGTCTGGCCGGCATTTCGCACTCATAGTGCAGGTTGGGCCAGGTAGAACGGAAACGCTCGTTTCTCAAAAAGTAGAGGGAATCTAATGGTCTCACTCAATCAGAAGGTGGGAAATATATTAATCTAGTCAGCTAAAAAGGTTTGAAATGTATTCAACGCACATGTATAGAGAAAATGGTGCATTTGCCAGGTCGGTCAGTATCGGAACTTAAAATGCAAATGCCAGGGAGAACGGAAGCGCTCAGATCTCGCATAGTACACGGAATCAAGTGGTCTCACTCAAATAGAAAGTAGGAAATATATTCATCTAGTGAACGTAAGGGTTTGAAAGGTAACTAACGCACATGTGTAGAGAAAATTGTGCATCGGCCAGTCTGGCCGGCATTTCGCACTTATCGTGCAACTAGGGCCAAGGAGAACGGAAACGCTCATTTCTCAAAAAGAAGAGGGAATCTAGTGGTCTCACTCGATCAGAAGGTGGGAAATATATAAATCTAGTGAGCTAATAAGGTTCAGAAGGAATCTAATGCATATGTATATGGAAAGTGGTGCATTGGCCAGGTCGGTCAGTATGGGAACTTAGAGTGCAAATGCCTGGGAGAACGGAACAGCTCAGATCTCGCATAATACACGGAATCTAGTGGTCTCCCTCAAATATAAGGTAGGAAATATATTCATCTAGTGAACGTAAGGGTTTGAAAGGTAACTAATGCACATGTGTAGAGAAAATGGTGCATCGGCCAGTCTGGCCGGCATTTCGCACTCATAGTGCAGGTGGGGCCAGGGAGAACGGAAACGCTCGTTTCTCAAAAAGTAGAGGGAATCTAACGGACTCACTCAATCAGAAGGTGGGAAATATATAAATCTAGTCAGCTAAAAAGGTTTGAAATGTATTCAACGCACAGGTATAGAGAAAATGGTGCATTGGCCAGGTCGGTCTGTATCGGAACTTAAAATGCAAATGCCAGGGAGAACGGAAGAGCTCAGATCTCGCATAGTACACGGAAGTAAGTGGTCTCACCCAAATAGAAAGTAGGAAATATATTCATCTAGTGAACATAAGGGTTTGAAAGGTAACTAACTCACATGTGTAGAGAAAATTGTGCGTCGGCCAGTCTGGCCGGCATTTCGCACTGATAGTGCAACTAGGGCCAAGGAGAACGGAAACGCTCATTTCTCAAAAAGTAGAGGGAATCTAGCGGTCTCACTCGATCAAAAGGTGGGAAATATATAAATCTAGTGAGCTAAAAAGGTTTGAAAGGAATCTAATGCATATGTATATGGAAAATGGTGCATTGGCCAGGTCGGTCAGTATGGGAACTTCGAGTGCAAATGACATGGACGTGGTCGTGGACGTGGACGTGGACGTGGACATGGACATGGACATGTACGTGGACATGGACGTAGACGTGGACATGGACGTGGACGTGGACATGGACGTGGACATGGACGTAGACGTGGACCTGGACGTGGACGTGGACGTGGACGTGGACGTGGACGTGGACGTGGTCGTGGACGTGGACGTGGACGTGGACGGGGACATGGACATGGACGGGGACGTGGACGTGGACGTGGACGTGGACGTGGACGCGGACGTGGACGCGGACCTGGACGTGGACGTGGACGTGGACGTGGACGTGGACCTGGACGCGGACATGGACGTGGACATGGACGTAGACGTGGACGTGGACGTGGACGCGGACGTGGATGTGGACGTGGTCGTGGACGCGGACGTGGACATGGACGTGGACATGGACGGGACGTGGACGTGGAGAACTTGGACGTGGACATGGACGTGAACGTGGACGCGGACATGGACGTGGAGGACTTGGACGTGGACATGGACGTGGACGTGGACGTGGACATGGACGTGGACGTGGACATGGACGTGGACGTGGACGTGGACATGGACGTGGACATGGACGTGGACGTGGACGTCGACGTGGACACGGACGTGGACGTGGACGTGGACATGGAAGTGGACGTGGACGTGGACGTGGAGGTGGACATGGACGTGGACGTCGACGTGGACGTGGACGTGGACGTGGACGTGGACGTGTAGGTGGACGTGGACGTGGAGGTGGACGTGGACGTGGACGTGGACGTGGACGTGGACGTGGACGTGGTCGTGGACGTGGACGTGGACATGGACGTGGTCGTGGACGTGGACATGGACGTGGACGTGGACGTGGACATGGACGTGGACGTGGACATGGTCGTGGACGTGGACGTGGACGTGGACGTGGACGTGGACGTGGCGATGGACGTGGACGTGGACGTGAACGTAGACGTGGACGTGGACAAGGACGTGGACATGGACGTGGACGTGGACGTGGACGTGGACATAGACATGGAGGTGGACGTGACGTGGACGTGGACGTGGACGTGGACGTGGACGTGACGTGGACCTGACATGGACGTGGACGTGGACCTGACGTGGACGTGGACGTGGACGTGGACATGGACGGGGACGGGACGTGGACGTGGACGTGGACATGGACGTGGACGTGGACATGGACATGGACGTGGACGTGACGTGGACATGGACCTGGACATGGACGGGGACGGGACGTGGACGTGGACGTGGACATGGACGTGGACGTGGACATGGACATGGACGTGGACGTGATGTGGACGTGGACGTGGACGTGGACGTGGACATGGACGTGGACGTGACGTGGACCTGACATGGACGTGGACGTGGACCTGACGTGGACGTGGACGTGGACGTGGACATGGACGGGGACGGGACGTGGACGTGGACGTGGACATGGACGTGGACATGGACGTGGACGTGGACGTGGACGTGGACGTGGACGTGGCGATGGACGTGGACGTGGACGTGAACGTAGACGTGGACGTGGACAAGGACGTGGACATGGACGTGGACGTGGACGTGGACGTGGACGTGGACATAGACGTGGAGGTGGACGTGACGTGGACGTGGACGTGGACGTGGACGTGGACGTGACGTGGACCTGACATGGACGTGGACGTGGACGTGGACATGGACGGGGACGGGACGTGGACATGGACGTGGACGTGACGTGGACGTGGACGTGGACGTGGACATGCACGTGGACGTGGACGTGGACGTGGACGTGGACGTGGACGCGGACGCGGACGTGGACGCGGACGTGGACGTGGACGTGGACGTGGAACTTAGAGTGCAAATGCCAGGGAGAACGGAAGCGCTCAGATCTCGCATAGTACACGGAATCTAGTGGTCTCACTCAAATAGAAGGTAGGAAATAAATTCATCTAGTGAACGTAATGGTTTGAAAGGTAACTAACGCACATGTGTAGAGAAAATGGTGCATCGGCCAGTCTGGCCGGCATTTCGCACTCATAGTGCAAGTAGGGCCAAGGAGAACGGAAACGCTCATTTCTCAAAAAGTAAAGGGAATCTAGCGGGATCACTCGATCAAAAGGTGGGAAATATATAAATCTAGTGAGCTAATAAGGTTCAGAAGGAATCTAATGCATATGTATATGGAAAGTGGTGCATTGGCCAGGTCGGTCACTATGGGAAGTTAGAGTGCAAATGCCTGGGAGAACGGTACCGCTAAGATCTTGCATAATACACGGAATCTAGTGGTCTCACTCAAATATATGGTAGGAAATATATTCATCTAGTGAACGTAAGGGTTGAAAGGTAACTAATGCACATGTGTAGAGAAAATGGTGCATCGGCCAGTCTGGCCGGCATTTCGCACTCATAGTGCAGGTTGGGCCAGGTAGAACGGAAACGCTCGTTTCTCAAAAAGTAGAGGGAATCTAATGGTCTCACTCAATCAGAAGGTGGGAAATATATAAATTTAGTCAGCTAAAAAGGTTTGAAATGTATTCAACGCACATGTATAGAGAAAATGGTGCATTTGCCAGGTCGGTCAGTATCGGAACTTAAAATGCAAATGCCAGGGAGAACGGAAGCGCTCAGATCTCGCATAGTACACGGAATCAAGTGGTCTCACTCAAATAGAAAGTAGGAAATATATTCATCTAGTGAACGTAAGGGTTTGAAAGGTAACTAACGCACATGTGTAGAGAAAATGGTGCATCGGCCAGTCTGGCCGGCATTTCGCACTTATAGTGCAAGTAGGGCCAAGGAGAACGGAAACGCTCATTTCTCAAAAAGTAAAGGGAATCTAGCAGTCTCACTCGATCAAAAGGTGGGAAATATATAAATCTAGTGAGCTTATAAGGTTCAAAAGGAATCTAATGCATATGTATATGGAAAGTGGTGCATTGGCCAGGTCGGTCAGTATGGGAACTTAAAGTGCAAATGCCTGGGAGAACGGAACCGCTCAGATCTCGCATAATACACGGAATCTAGTGGTCTCACTCAATTATAAGGTAGGAAATATATTCATCTAGTGAACGTAAGGGTTTGAAAGGTAACTAATGCACATGTGTAGAGAAAATGGTGCATCGGCCAGTCTGGCCGGCATTTCGCACTCATAGTGCAGGTGGGGCTAGGTAGAACGGAAACGCTCGTTTCTCAAAAAGTAGAGGGAATCTAACGGTCTCACTCGATCAGAAGGTGGGAAATATATAAATCTAGTCAGCTAAAAAGGTTTCAAATGTATTCAACGCACATGTATAGAGGAAATGGTGCATTGGCCAGGTCGGTCAGTATCGGAACTTAAAATGCAAATGCCAGGGAGAACGGAAGCGCTCAGATCTCGCATAGTACACGGAATCAAGTGGTCTCACTCAAATAGAAAGTAGGAAATATATTCATCTAGTGAACGTAAGGGTTTGAAAGGTAACTAACACACATGTGTAGAGAAAATTGTGCATCGGCCAGTCTGGCCGGCATTTCGCACTTATCTTGCACCTAGGGCCAAGGAAAACGAAAACGCTCATTTCTCAAAAAGTAGAGGGAATCTAGTGGTCTCACTCGATCAGAAGGTGGGAAATATATAAATCTAGTGAGCCAATAAGGTTCGAAAGGAATCTAATGCATATGTATACGGAAAATGGTGCATTGGCCAGGTCGGTCAGTATGGGAACTTAGAGTGCAAATGCTAGGGAGAACGGAAGCGCTCAGATCTCGCATAGTACACGGAATCTAGTGGTCTCACTCAAATAGATGGTAGGAAATAAATTCATCTAGTGAACGTAAGGGTTCGAAAAGTAACTAACGCACATGTGTAGAGAAAATGGTGCATCGGCCAGTCTGGCCGGCATTTCGCACTTATAGTGCAAGTAGGGCCAAGGAGAACGGAAACGCTAATTTCTCAAAAAGTAAAGGGAATCTAGCAGTCTCACTCGATTAGAAGGTGGGAAATATATAAATCTAGTGAAATTATAAGGTTCGAAAGGAATCTAATGCAGATGTATATGGAAAATGGTGCATTGGCCAGGTCGGTCAGTATGGGAACTTAGAGTGCAAATGCCTGGGAGAACAGAACCGCTCAGATCTCGCATAATACACGGAATCTAGTGGTCTCACTCAAATATAAGGTAGGAAATATATTCATCTAGTGAACGTAAGGGTTTGAAAGGTAACTAACGCACATGTGTAGAGAAAATTGTGCATCGGCCAGTCTGGCCGGCATTTCGCACTTATAGTGCAAGTAGGGCCAAGGAGAACGGAAACGCTCATTTCTCAGAAAGTAAAGGGAATCTAGCCGGATCACTCGATCAAAAGGTGGGAAATATAGAAATCTAGTGAGCTAATAAGGTTCGGAAGGAATCTAATGTATATGTATATGGAAAGTGGTGCATTGGCCAGGTCGGTCAGTATGGAAACTTAGAGTGCAAATGCCAGGGAGAATGGAAGCGCTCAGATCTCGCATAGTACACGGAATCTAGTGGTCTCACTCAAATAGAAGGTAGGAAATAAATTCATCTAGTGAACGTAAGGGTTTGAAAGGTAACTAACGCACATGTGTAGAGAAAATGGTGCATCGGCCAGTCTTGCCGGCATTTCGCACTTATAGTGCAAGTAGGGCCAAGGAGAACGGAAACGCTCATTTCTCAAAAAAGTAAAGGGAATCTAGCGGTCTCACTCGATCAAAAGGTGGGAAATATATAAATCTAGTGAGCTAATAAGGTTTGAAAGGAATCTAATGCATATGTATATAGAAAGTGGTGCATTGGCCAGGTCGGTCAGTATGGGAACTTCAGTGCAAATGCCTGGGAGAACAGAACCGCTCAGATCTCGCATAATACACGGAATCTAGTGGTCTCACTCAAATATAAGGTAGGAAATATATTCATCTAGTGAACCTAAGGGTTTGAAAGGTAACTAACGCACATGTGTAGAGAAAATTGTGCATCGGCCAGTCTAGCCGGCATTTCGCACTCAGAGTGCAAGTAGGGCCAAGGATAACGGAAACGCTCATTTCTCAGAAAGTAAAGGGAATCTAGCGGGATCACTCGATCAAAAGGTGGGAAATATATAAATCTAGTGAGCTAATAAGGTTCAGAAGGAATCTAATGCATATGTATATGGAAAGTGGTGCATTGGCCAGGTCGGTCACTATGGGAAGTTAGAGTGCAAATGCCTGGGAGAACGGTACCGCTCAGATCTTGCATAATACACGGAATCTAGTGGTCTCACTCAAATATATGGTAGGAAATATATTCATCTAGTGAACGTAAGGGTTGAAAGGTAACTAATGCACATGTGTAGAGAAAATGGTGCATCGGCCAGTCTGGCCGGCATTTCGCACTCATAGTGCAGGTTGGGCCAGGTAGAACGGAAACGCTCGTTTCTCAAAAAGTAGAGGGAATCTAATGGTCTCACTCAATCAGAAGGTGGGAAATATATTAATCTAGTCAGCTAAAAAGGTTTGAAATGTATTCAACGCACATGTATAGAGAAAATGGTGCATTTGCCAGGTCGGTCAGTATCGGAACTTAAAATGCAAATGCCAGGGAGAACGGAAGCGCTCAGATCTCGCATAGTACACGGAATCAAGTGGTCTCACTCAAATAGAAAGTAGGAAATATATTCATCTAGTGAACGTAAGGGTTTGAAAGGTAACTAACGCACATGTGTAGAGAAAATTGTGCATCGGCCAGTCTGGCCGGCATTTCGCACTTATCGTGCAACTAGGGCCAAGGAGAACGGAAACGCTCATTTCTCAAAAAGAAGAGGGAATCTAGTGGTCTCACTCGATCAGAAGGTGGGAAATATATAAATCTAGTGAGCTAATAAGGTTCAGAAGGAATCTAATGCATATGTATATGGAAAGTGGTGCATTGGCCAGGTCGGTCAGTATGGGAACTTAGAGTGCAAATGCCTGGGAGAACGGAACAGCTCAGATCTCGCATAATACACGGAATCTAGTGGTCTCCCTCAAATATAAGGTAGGAAATATATTCATCTAGTGAACGTAAGGGTTTGAAAGGTAACTAATGCACATGTGTAGAGAAAATGGTGCATCGGCCAGTCTGGCCGGCATTTCGCACTCATAGTGCAGGTGGGGCCAGGGAGAACGGAAACGCTCGTTTCTCAAAAAGTAGAGGGAATCTAACGGACTCACTCAATCAGAAGGTGGGAAATATATAAATCTAGTCAGCTAAAAAGGTTTGAAATGTATTCAACGCACAGGTATAGAGAAAATGGTGCATTGGCCAGGTCGGTCTGTATCGGAACTTAAAATGCAAATGCCAGGGAGAACGGAAGAGCTCAGATCTCGCATAGTACACGGAAGTAAGTGGTCTCACCCAAATAGAAAGTAGGAAATATATTCATCTAGTGAACATAAGGGTTTGAAAGGTAACTAACTCACATGTGTAGAGAAAATTGTGCGTCGGCCAGTCTGGCCGGCATTTCGCACTGATAGTGCAACTAGGGCCAAGGAGAACGGAAACGCTCATTTCTCAAAAAGTAGAGGGAATCTAGCGGTCTCACTCGATCAAAAGGTGGGAAATATATAAATCTAGTGAGCTAAAAAGGTTTGAAAGGAATCTAATGCATATGTATATGGAAAATGGTGCATTGGCCAGGTCGGTCAGTATGGGAACTTCGAGTGCAAATGACATGGACGTGGTCGTGGACGTGGACGTGGACGTGGACATGGACATGGACATGTACGTGGACATGGACGTAGACGTGGACATGGACGTGGACGTGGACATGGACGTGGACATGGACGTAGACGTGGACCTGGACGTGGACGTGGACGTGGACGTGGACGTGGACGTGGACGTGGTCGTGGACGTGGACGTGGACGTGGACGGGGACATGGACATGGACGGGGACGTGGACGTGGACGTGGACGTGGACGTGGACGCGGACGTGGACGCGGACCTGGACGTGGACGTGGACGTGGACGTGGACGTGGACCTGGACGCGGACATGGACGTGGACATGGACGTAGACGTGGACGTGGACGTGGACGCGGACGTGGATGTGGACGTGGTCGTGGACGCGGACGTGGACATGGACGTGGACATGGACGGGACGTGGACGTGGAGAACTTGGACGTGGACATGGACGTGAACGTGGACGCGGACATGGACGTGGAGGACTTGGACGTGGACATGGACGTGGACGTGGACGTGGACATGGACGTGGACGTGGACATGGACGTGGACGTGGACGTGGACATGGACGTGGACGTGGACATGGACGTGGACGTGGACGTCGACGTGGACACGGACGTGGACGTGGACGTGGACATGGAAGTGGACGTGGACGTGGACGTGGAGGTGGACATGGACGTGGACGTCGACGTGGACGTGGACGTGGACGTGGACGTGGACGTGTAGGTGGACGTGGACGTGGAGGTGGACGTGGACGTGGACGTGGACGTGGACGTGGACGTGGACGTGGTCGTGGACGTGGACGTGGACATGGACGTGGTCGTGGACGTGGACATGGACGTGGACGTGGACGTGGACATGGACGTGGACGTGGACATGGTCGTGGACGTGGACGTGGACGTGGACGTGGACGTGGACGTGGCGATGGACGTGGACGTGGTCGGGGGCGGGGACGTGAACGTAGACGTGGACGTGGACAAGGACGTGGACATGGACGTGGACGTGGACGTGGACGTGGACATAGACATGGAGGTGGACGTGACGTGGACGTGGACGTGGACGTGGACGTGGACGTGACGTGGACCTGACATGGACGTGGACGTGGACCTGACGTGGACGTGGACGTGGACGTGGACATGGACGGGGACGGGACGTGGACGTGGACGTGGACATGGACGTGGACGTGGACATGGACATGGACGTGGACGTGACGTGGACATGGACCTGGACATGGACGGGGACGGGACGTGGACGTGGACGTGGACATGGACGTGGACGTGGACATGGACATGGACGTGGACGTGATGTGGACGTGGACGTGGACGTGGACGTGGACATGGACGTGGACGTGACGTGGACCTGACATGGACGTGGACGTGGACCTGACGTGGACGTGGACGTGGACGTGGACATGGACGGGGACGGGACGTGGACGTGGACGTGGACATGGACGTGGACATGGACGTGGACGTGGACGTGGACGTGGACGTGGACGTGGCGATGGACGTGGACGTGGACGTGAACGTAGACGTGGACGTGGACAAGGACGTGGACATGGACGTGGACGTGGACGTGGACGTGGACGTGGACATAGACGTGGAGGTGGACGTGACGTGGACGTGGACGTGGACGTGGACGTGGACGTGACGTGGACCTGACATGGACGTGGACGTGGACGTGGACATGGACGGGGACGGGACGTGGACATGGACGTGGACGTGACGTGGACGTGGACGTGGACGTGGACATGCACGTGGACGTGGACGTGGACGTGGACGTGGACGTGGACGCGGACGCGGACGTGGACGCGGACGTGGACGTGGACGTGGACGTGGAACTTAGAGTGCAAATGCCAGGGAGAACGGAAGCGCTCAGATCTCGCATAGTACACGGAATCTAGTGGTCTCACTCAAATAGAAGGTAGGAAATAAATTCATCTAGTGAACGTAATGGTTTGAAAGGTAACTAACGCACATGTGTAGAGAAAATGGTGCATCGGCCAGTCTGGCCGGCATTTCGCACTCATAGTGCAAGTAGGGCCAAGGAGAACGGAAACGCTCATTTCTCAAAAAGTAAAGGGAATCTAGCGGGATCACTCGATCAAAAGGTGGGAAATATATAAATCTAGTGAGCTAATAAGGTTCAGAAGGAATCTAATGCATATGTATATGGAAAGTGGTGCATTGGCCAGGTCGGTCACTATGGGAAGTTAGAGTGCAAATGCCTGGGAGAACGGTACCGCTAAGATCTTGCATAATACACGGAATCTAGTGGTCTCACTCAAATATATGGTAGGAAATATATTCATCTAGTGAACGTAAGGGTTGAAAGGTAACTAATGCACATGTGTAGAGAAAATGGTGCATCGGCCAGTCTGGCCGGCATTTCGCACTCATAGTGCAGGTTGGGCCAGGTAGAACGGAAACGCTCGTTTCTCAAAAAGTAGAGGGAATCTAATGGTCTCACTCAATCAGAAGGTGGGAAATATATAAATTTAGTCAGCTAAAAAGGTTTGAAATGTATTCAACGCACATGTATAGAGAAAATGGTGCATTTGCCAGGTCGGTCAGTATCGGAACTTAAAATGCAAATGCCAGGGAGAACGGAAGCGCTCAGATCTCGCATAGTACACGGAATCAAGTGGTCTCACTCAAATAGAAAGTAGGAAATATATTCATCTAGTGAACGTAAGGGTTTGAAAGGTAACTAACGCACATGTGTAGAGAAAATTGTGCATCGGCCAGTCTGGCCGGCATTTCGCACTTATCGTGCAACTAGGGCCAAGGAGAACGGAAACGCTCATTTCTCAAAAAGAAGAAGGAATCTAGTGGTCTCACTCGATCAGAAGGTGGGAAATATATAAATCTAGTGAGCTAATAAGGTTCGGAAGGAATCTAATGCATATGTACATGGAAAGTGGTGCATTGGCCAGGTCGGTCAGTATGGGAACTTAGAGTGCAAATGCCTGGGAGAACAGAACAGCTCAGATCTCGCATAATATACGGAATCTAGTGGTCTCCCTCAAATATAAGGTAGGAAATATATTCATCTAGTGAACGTAAGGGTTTGAAAGGTAACTAATGCACATGTGTAGAGAAAATGGTGCATCGGCCAGTCTGGCCGGCATTTCGCACTCATAGTGTAGGTGGGGCCAGGGAGAACGGAAACGCTCGTTTCTCAAAAAGTAGAGGGAATCTAACCGTCTCACTCGATCAGAAGGTGGGAAATATATAAATCTAGTCAGCTAAAAAGGTTTGAAATGTATTCAACGCACATGTATAGAGAAAATGGTGCATTGGCCAGGTCGGTCAGTATTGGAACTTAAAATGCAAATGCCAGGGAGAACGGAAGAGCTCAGATCTCGCATAGTACACGGAAGTAAGTGGTCTCACCCAAATAGAAAGTAGGAAATATATTCATCTAGTGAACATAAGGGTTTGAAAGGTAACTAACTCACATGTGTAGAGAAAATTGTGCGTCGGCCAGTCTGGCCGGCATTTCGCACTAATAGTGCAACTAGGGCCAAGGAGAACGGAAACGCTCATTTCTCAAAAAGTAGAGGGAATCTAGCGGTCTCACTCGATCAAAAGGTGGGAAATATATAAATCTAGTGAGCTAAAAAGGTTTGAAAGGAATCTAATGCATATGTATATGGAAAATGGTGCATTGGCCAGGTCGGTCAGTATGGGAACTTCGAGTGCAAATGACATGGACGTGGTCGTGGACGTGGACGTGGACATGGACATGGACATGGACGTGGACATGGACGTAGACGTGGACATGGACGTGGACGTGGACATGGACGTGGACATGGACGTAGACGTGGACCTGGACGTGGACGTGGACGTGGACGTGGACGTGGACGTGGACGTGGACGTGGTCGTGGACGTGGACGTGGACGGGGACATGGACATGGACGGGGACGTGGACGTGGACGTGGACGTGGACGCGGACGTGGACGCGGACCTGGACGTGGACGCGGACGTGGACGTGGACGTGGACCTGGACGCGGACGTGGACGTGGACATGGACGTAGACGTGGACGTGGACGTGGACGCGGACGTGGATGTGGACGTGGTCGTGGACGCGGACGTGGTCGTGGACGCGGACGTGGACATGGACGTGGACATGGACGGGACGTGGACGTGGAGAACTTGGACGTGGACATGGACGTGAACGTGGACGCGGACGTGGACGTGGAGGACTTGGACGTGGACATGGACGTGGACGTGGACGTGGACATGGACGTGGACGTGGACATGGACGTGGACGTGGACGTGGACATGGACGTGGACGTGGACATGGACGTGGACGTGGACGTCGACGTGGACACGGACGTGGACGTGGACGTGGACATGGAAGTGGACGTGGACGTGGACGTGGAGGTGGACCTGGACCTGGACGTGGACGTGGACGTGGACGTGGACGTGGACGTGGAGGTGGACGTGGACGTGGAGGTGGACGTGGACGTGGACGTGGACGTGGACGTGGACGTGGTCGTGGACGTGGACGTGGACGTGGACGTGGTCGTGGACGTGGTCGTGGACGTGGACATGGACGTGGACGTGGACGTGGACATGGACGTGGACGTGGACATGGTCGTGGACATGGACGTGGACGTGGACGTGGACGTGGACGTGGCGATGGACGTGGACGTGAACGTAGACGTGGACGTGGACGTGGACGTGGACATGGACCTGGACGTGGACGTGGACGTGGACATAGACGTGGAGGTGGACGTGACGTGGACGTGGACGTGGACGTGGACGTGGACGTGACGTGGACCTGACATGGACGTGGACGTGGACCTGACGTGGACGTGGACGTGGACGTGGACATGGACGGGGACGGGACGTGGACGTGGACGTGGACATGGACGTGGACGTGGACATGGACATGGACGTGGACGTGACGTGGACGTGGACGTGGACCTGGACATGGACGGGGACGGGACGTGGACGTGGACGTGGACATGGACGTGGAGGTGGACATGGACATGGACGTGGACGTGATGTGGACGTGGACGTGGACGTGGACGTGGACATGGACGTGGACGTGACGTGGACCTGACATGGACGTGGACGTGGACCTGACGTGGACGTGGACGTGGACGTGGACATGGACGGGGACGGGACGTGGACGTGGACGTGGACATGGACGTGGACATGGACGTGGACGTGGACGTGGACGTGGACGTGGCGATGGACGTGGACGTGGACGTGAACGTAGACGTGGACGTGGACAAGGACGTGGACATGGACGTGGACGTGGACGTGGACATAGACGTGGAGGTGGACGTGACGTGGACGTGGACGTGGACGTGGACGTGGACCTGACATGGACGTGGACGTGGACCTGACGTGGACGTGGACGTGGACGTGGACATGGACGGGGACGGGACGTGGACGTGGACGTGGACATGGACGTGGACGTGGACATGGACATGGACGTGGACGTGACGTGGACGTGGACGTGGACGTGGACATGCACGTGGACGTGGACGTGGACGTGGACGTGGACGCGGACGCGGACGTGGACGCGGACGTGGACGCGGACATGGATGTGGACGTGGACATGGACGTGGATGTGGACGTAAGGGTTTGAAAGGTAACTAACGCACATGTGTAGAGAAAATTGTGCATCGGCCAGTCTGGCCGGCATTTCGCACTTATAGTGCAAGTAGGGCCAAGGAGAACGGAAACGCTCATTTCTCAAAAATTAAAGGGAATCTAGTGATCTCACTCGATCACAAGGTGGGAAATATATAAATCTAGTGAGCTAATAAGGTTCGAAAGGAATCTAATGCATATGTATATGGAAAGTGGTGCATTGGCCAGGTCGGTCAGTATGGGAACTTAGAGTGCAAATGCCAGGGAGAACGGAAGCGCTCAGATCTCGCATAGTACACGGAATCTAGTGGTCTCACTCAAATAGAAGGTAGGAAATAAATTCATCTAGTGAACGTAATGGTTTGAAAGGTAACTAACGCACATGTGTAGAGAAAATGGTGCATCGGCCAGTCTGGCCGGCATTTCGCACTCATAGTGCAAGTAGGGCCAAGGAGAACGGAAACGCTCATTTCTCAAAAAGTAAAGGGAATCTAGCGGTCTCACTCGATCAGAAGGTGGGAAATATATAGATCTAGTGAGCTAATAAGGTTCGAAAGGAATCTAATGCATATGTATATGGAAAATGGTGCATTGGCCAGGTCGGTTAGTATGGGAACTTAGAGTGCAAATGCCAGGGAGAACGGAAGCGCTCAGATCTGGCATAGTACACGGAATCTAGTGGTCTCACTCAAATAGAAGGTAGGAAATAAATTCATCTAGTGAACGTAAGGGTTTGAAATGTAACTAACGCACATGTGTAGAGAAAATGGTGCATCGGCCAGTCTGGCCAGCATTTCGCACTTATAGTGCAGGTGGGGCCAGGGAGAACGAAAATGCTCGTTTCTCAAAAAGTAGAGGGAATCTAACGAACTCACTCAATCAGAAGGTGGGAAATATATAAATCTAGTCAGCTAAAAAGGTTTGAAATGTATTCAACGCACAGGTATAGAGAAAATGGTGCATTGGCCAGGTCGGTCTGTATCGGAACTTAAAATGCAAATGCCAGGGAGAACGGAAGCGCTCAGATCTCGCATAGTACACAGAATCAAGTGGTCTCACCCAAATAGAAAGTAGGAAATATATTCATCTAGTGAACATAAGGGTTTGAAAGGTAACTAACGAACATGTGTAGAGAAAATTGTGCGTCGGCCAGTCTGGCCGGCATTTCGCACTTATAGAGTAACTAGGGCCAAGGAGAACGGAAACGCTCATTTCTCAAAAAGTAGAGGGAATCTAGCGGTCTCACTCGATCAGAAGGTGGGAAATATATAAATCTAGTGAGCTAATAAGGTTCGAAAGGAATCTAATGCATATGTATATGGAAAATGGTGCATTGGCCAGGTCGGTCAGTATGGGAACTTAGAGTGCAAATAACATGGACGTGGTCGTGGACGTGGACGTGGACGTGGATATGGACATGGACGTGGACATGGACGTGGACGTGGACATGGACGTTGACGTGGACATGGACGTGGACATGGACGTGGACGTGGACATGGACGTGGACGTGGACGTACACATGGACGTAGACGTGGACGTGGACGTGGACGTAGACGTGGACGTGGTTGTGGACGTGGACGTGGACGTGGACATGGACGTGGAAGTGGACGTGGAAGTGGACGTGGAATTGGACGTGGACATGGACGTGGACGAAGACATGGTCGTGGACGTGGACGTGGACGTAGACATGGACGTAGACGTGGACGTGAAGGTGGACATGGACGTGGACCTGGTCGTGGACGTGGACGTGGAGGAACATGGACGTGGACGTGGACGTGGACGTGGATGTGGACGTGGACGTGGACGTGGACGTTGACGTGGACGTGGACCTGGTCGTGGACGCGGACATGGATGTGGACGTGGACATGGACGTGGACGTGGACGTGGACGTGGACGTGGACGTAGACGTAGACGTGGACGTGGACGTGGACATGGAGATGGACGTGGACGTGGACGTGGACGTAGACGTGGACGTGGACGTGGACGTGGAAGTGGACGTGGACGTGGACGTGGACGTGGAGGACTTGGACGTGGATGTGGACGTGGATGTGGACGTGGACGTGGACGACTTGGACGTGGACATGGACGTGGACATAGACGTGGACATAGACGTGGACGTGGACGTAGACATGGACGTAGACGTGGACGTGGACGTAGACGTGGACATGGACGTGGACGTGGACGTGGACGTAGACGTGGACGTGGACGTGGACGTGGTCGTGGACGTGGACGTGGACGTGGACGTGGACATGAAGGTGGACGTGGACGTGGACATGGACGTGGACGTGGACGTGGATGTGGACGTGGACATGGACGTGGACGTGGACGTGGACGTGGACATGGTCCTGGACGTGGACATGGACGTGGACGTGGACATGGACGTGGACGTGGACGTGGACGTGGACGTGGACGTGGACATGGACATGGACGTGGACGTGGCGTGGACGTGGACATGGATGTGGACGTGGACGTGGACATGGACGTGGACATGGACGTGGACGTGGACGAAGACATGGTCGTGGACGTGGACGTGGACGTGGACGTAGACATGGACGTAGACTTGGACGTGGACGTGGACGTGGACGTGGTCGTTGACGTGGACGTGGACGTGGAGGAACATGGACGTGGACGTGGACGTGGACGTGGACATGGACGTGGGCGTAGACGTGGACGTGGACGTGGACATGGACGTGGACATGGACGTGGACGTGGACGTGGACGAAGACATGGTCGTGGACGTGGACGTGGACGTGGACGTGGACATGGACATGGACGTGGACGTGGACGTGGACTTGGACGAAGACGTGGACGTGGACATGGACGTGGACGTGAACGTGGACGTGGACGTGGACATGGACATGGACGTGGACGTGGACGTGGACATGGTCGTGGACATGGACGTGAACGTGGACATGGACGTGGACGTGGACATGGACGTGGACGAGGTCGTGGACTTGGACGTGGACGTGGACGTGGACATGGTCGTGGACGTGGACGTGGACGTGGACATGGACGTGGACGTGGACGTGGACGTGGACATGGACGTGGACGTGGACGTGGACGTGGACGTGGACATGGTCGTGGACGTGGACATGGACGTGGATGTGGACATGGACGTGGACGTGGACGTGGACGTGGACATGGACGTGGACGTGGACGTGACGTGGACGTGGACATGGACGTGGACGTGGACGTAGACGTGGATATGGACGACGTGGATATGGACGTGGACGTGGACGTGGACGTGGACGTGGACGTGGACATGGACGTGGACGTGGACATGGACGTGGACATGGATGTGGGAAGGGGATGGGGGGAAGTAGGGAAGGGGATGGGGGGAAGCAGGGAAGGGGATGGGGGGAAGCAGGGCAGGGGATACGGGGTAAGAGGGGATAGGATAGAGGGAAGCACGGCTAGGGATACGGGGAAGCAGGGAAGAGGATGGGGGGAACGTGGGCAGATGCCGAGGAGAGAGCTGGGGGGAGGATGGTGGGGAGCAGAGAGGGAATCAAAACGCTGTTCGATTGTGGTGGCGTAGCGACCACCTCTGTTTCTCCCCATCTGTTCCTCCCCATCTATCCCACCCCTTCGGAAGGAATGAGGGAGGAAGGATGGGCTGGAGCTAGTGAGATGGGGAGAGGGGAAGAGCGGATGGAAACGCGGAGGAGGACATGGACGTGGACATGGACGTGGACGTGGACGTGGACGTGGACATGGACGTGGACATGGACGTGGACGTGGACGTGGACATGGACGTAGACGTGGAGGGGGATATGGACGTGGATGTAGACGTGGACGTGGACATGGACGTGGACGTGGACGTGGACGTGGACGTGGACATGGACATGGACGTGGACGTGGTTGTGGACGTGGATGTGAACGTAGACGTGGACGTGGACGTGGACGTTGACGTGGACATGGACGTGGACGTGGACGTGGAGGAGTTGGACGTTGACATGGACGTGGACGTGGACATGGACGTGGAAGTGGACGTGGACGTGGACGTGGAGAACTTGGACGTGGACATGGACGTGAACGTGGACGTGGACATGGACGTGGAGGACTTGGACGTGGACATGGACGTGGACGTGGACGTGTACATGGACGTGGGCGTGGACATGCAGGTGGACGTGGACGTGGACGTGGACATGGACGTGGACGTGGACGTGGACGTGGACGTGGACATGGTCGTGGACATGGACATGAACATGGACATGGACGTGGACGTGGACGTGGTCGTGGACGTGGACGTGGACGTGGACGTGGTCGTGGACGTGGACGTGGACGTGGACATGGACGTGGACGTGGACGTGGAGGTGGACATGGACGTGGACGTGGACGTGGACGTGGACGTGGACGTGGTCGTGGACGTGGACATGGACGTGGACGTGGACGTGGACATGGACGTGGACGTGGACGTGGACGTGGACGTGGACCTGGACGTAGACGTGGACGTGGACATAGACGTGGACGTGGACGTGGACGTGGACGTGGACGTGGACGTGGACGTGGACGTGGACGTGGACGTGGACTGGGACGTGGACGTGGACGTGGAGTGGACGTGGACGTGGACGTGGACGTGGACGTGGACGTGGACCTGGACGTGGACGTGGACGTGGACGTTGACGTGGACTGGACGTGGACGTGGACGTGGACATTGACGTGGACGTGGACGTGGACGTGGAGGTGGACATGGACAAGGACGTGGACGTGGACGTGGACGTGGACGTGGTCGTGGACGTGGACATGGACGTGGACGTGGACGTGGACGTAGACGTGGACGTGGACGTGGACGTGGACGTGGACGTGGACGTGGACATAGACATGGACGTGGACGTGGACGTGGACTGGGACGTGGACGTGGACGTGGAGTGGACGTGGACGTGGACGTGGACGTGGACGTGGACCTGGACGTGGACGTGGACGTGGACGTGGACGTGGACGTTGACGTGGACGTTGACGTGGACGTGGACGTGGACGTGGACGTGGACGTGACGTGGACGTGGACGTGGACGTGGACGTGGACGTTGACGTGAACGTAGACGTGGACGTGGACATGGACGTGGACCTGGACGTGGACGTGGACGTGGACGTGGACGTGGACGTGGACGTGGAGTGGACCTGGACGTGGACCTGGTCGTGGACCTGGACGTGGACGTGGACGTGGACGTGGACGTGGACGTGGACGTGGACATAGACATGGACGTGGACGTGGACGTGGACTGGGACGTGGACGTGGACGTGGAGTGGACGTGGACGTGGACGTGGACGTGGACGTGGACCTGGACGTGGACGTGGACGTGGACGTGGACGTTGACGTGGACGTTGACGTGGACGTGGACGTGGACGTGGACGTGACGTGGACGTGGACGTGGACGTGGACGTGGACGTTGACGTGAACGTAGACGTGGACGTGGACATGGACGTGGACCTGGACGTGGACGTGGACGTGGACGTGGACGTGGACGTGGACGTGGACGTGGAGTGGACCTGGACGTGGACCTGGTCGTGGACCTGGACGTGGACGTGGACGTGGACGTGGACGTGGACGTGGACGTGGAGGTGGACGTGGAGGTGGACGTGGACGTGGACGTGGAGGTGGAGGTGGACGTGGACGTGGACGTGGAGGTGGACGTGGAGGTGGACGTGGACGTGGACGTGGACATGGACGTGAACGTGGACGTGGACGTGGACCTGGACGTGGACGTGGACGTGGACGTGGACGTGGACATGGACGTGGAGGTAGACGTGGAGTGGACGTGGACGTGGACGTGGACGTGGACGTGGACGTGGACGTGGACGTGGACATGGACGTGGACGTGGACGTGGACGTGGACGTGGACATGGACGTGGACGTAGACGTAGACGTGGACGTGGACGTGGACCTGGACGTGGACGTGGACGTGGACGTGGAGGACGTGGACGTGGACGTGGACGTGGACGTGGACGTGGAGAACTTGGACGTGGACATGGACGTGAACGTGGACGTGGACGTGGACGTGGACGTGGACGTGGACATGGACGTGGACGTAGACGTAGACGTAGACGTGGACGTGGACGTGGACATGGACGTGGACGTGGACGTGGAGGACGTGGACGTGGACGTGGACATGGACGTGGACGTGGAGAACTTGGACGTGGACATAGACGTGAACGTGGACGTGGACGTGGAGGACTTGGACGTGGACATGGACGTGGACGTGGAGTGGACGTGGACGTGGACGTTGACGTGGACGTGGACGTGGACATGGACGTGGACGTGGACGTGGACGTGGACGTGGACGTGGACGACGTGGACGTGGACGTGTACGTGGACGTGGATGTGGACATGGAGGTGGACATGGACGTGGACGTGGACGTGGACATGGACGTGGACATGGACGTGGACGTGGACGTGGACGTGGAGTGGACGTGGAGTGGACGTGGACGTGGACATGGACGTGGACGTGGACGTGGACGTGGACGTGCACGTGGACGTGGACGTGGACGTGGACGTGGACGTGGAGGACGTGGACGTGGACGTGGACGTGGACGTGGACGTGGACGTGGACATGGACGTGGACGTGGACATGGACGTAGACGTGGACGTGGACATGGACGTGGACATGTACGTGGACGTCGACGTGGAAGAAGACGTGGACGTGGAGAACTTGGACGTGGACATGGACGTGGACATGGACGTGGACGTGGATGTGGACGAAGACATGGTCGTGGATGTGGACGTGGACGTGGACGTGGACGTGGACATGGACTTAGACGTGGACGTGGACGTGGACGTGGACGTGGACGTGGTCGTGGACGTGGACGTGGTCGTGGACATGGACGTGGACGTGGACATGGACGTGGACGTGGACGTGGACGTAGACATGGACGTGGACCTGGACGTGGACGAGGACGTGGACGTGGACATGGACGTGGACGTGGACGTAGACAGGGACATGGACTTGGACATGGACGTGGACGTGGACATGGACGTGGACGTGGACATGGACATGGACATGGACGTGGACGTGAACGTGGACGTGGACATAGACGTGGACGTGGACGTGGACATGGACATGGACACGTCCATGTCCATGTCCACATCCACGTCCATGTCCACGTCCACGTCCATGTCCACGTCCATGTCCATGTCCATGTCCACGTCCACGTCCACGTCCACGTCCACGTCCATGTCATTTGCACTCTAAGGTCCTCACTGGTTTTGAGTCCGTCGGCGCGGCGTCTGCCCCCAGCGGCAGACGCCGCTCTGGCAAGGGCAAGGGGGGCAAGGGAGCGGGTGGAGCTAGAGGGGGCGGTGGAGGAGGCGGTGGGGGTGGCGGGGGGAGTGGGGGTGGCGGTGGGGGTGGTGGCGGGAGTGGAGGTACTGGTGGCGGCGGTGGAGGCGGAGGTGGCGGCGGCGGTGGTAGCGGAGGAGGCGGTGGGAGCGGTGGGAGCGACGGTCCTGGTGGGGGAGGTGGCGGTGGAGACGGGGGTGGCGGTGGAGGCGGGGGTGGCGGTGGAGGCGGGGGTCGGAGTGGCTCGTCCCAGCGGAGCAGCTCTGGGGGTGGTCAGCGCCAGCAGCAGCAGCAGCCGCAGCAGCAGCCACAGCAGCAGCAGCGCTCTCGCAGCGTCCTCGCCCCTCAGCAGCTCCGTGAGTGGTACTTGCAGCGTCAGCGTGGTGGTGCGCTTGGTCCCTGCCCCTACGTTCTTCGCACCGGTGACCGTGCAGGGGAGAGGTGTGGAGGCGCCCACACAGCCCGCCGCTGCTTTGGCCGCCTGACCGACGCCTGGCGTCAGCAGTTTCCGGAGGCCGCTGAGATCCCCCGCTGGGGAGAGCTGTCTAGGGCTGGTGTAGCTATTTATGATCTTGATTTTGATGCTATTCTCTCTGCTATGTATGCTGTGACTGGTAGTGATGAGGATGACTGTTACCGGTGTTTCCCGCCCGACCCGGGCATTGGTACTGCCGCGTCAGGTACTAGTGAGGCTGCTGCTCTAGGTGCCAGTGCGTCTGTGTTCTCAGGTGCTGGTGAGTCTGCCCTCTCAGGTACTGTGTCGGCTTCGGCCTCTCACACCTTCACCCTTGACTCTGGAGCGTCTCGCTCCTTCTTTAGGGACCGCACCACTCTCACGCCGCTGAGTCGGCCGGTTGCGGTGTCCCTGGCTGACCCCTCTGGGGGGCCTGTCCTGTCTCGCTTCTCCACTGTCCTCCCGTGTCCGGCGGCCCCCTCTGGCACCCTGACTGGTCTCTACCTCCCCTCGTTCTCGACGAACTTGGTGAGTGGTACTGACCTCCAGGATGCGGGTGTCCACCAGTTCACCCCTGCTCGTCAGCGGGTGACCCACTGCACGGAGGCGGATACAGGTCGCCACCTGGCCACGTTTACACGTCGGCCAGGGTCGAGCCTGTACACACTGACCACTGCTTCTCCTCCAGGTGCTACGTCTGGTAGGGTCCCTTCGTCTGGTCAGGTGTTTGCTGCAGCGTCCAGGTCTGGTCCTGAGTCTGCCCCCTGCTCGTGTCGTCGTCTGTCTCACGAGACCCTCCTCTGGCACCACCGCCTTGGCCACCCCTCTCTGCTTCGGCTCAGAGGCATGGCCTCGCGAGTCCTTGTGTCTGGTCTTCCCCGGTCTCTCCCTCCCCTTCCTCCGGGCCCTGGCCCTACCTGTGTCCCCTGTGTCGAGGGGCGCCAGCGTGCTGCCCCTCACTCCTCCCAGTTTCCTCCGACAGAGGCCCCGTTGCAGACGCTTCACATGGACGTGTGGGGCCCAGCCCGCGTCCGTGGACAGGGTCAGGAGCGCTACTTCCTGCTGGTGGTTGACGACTACTCGCGTTACACCACAGTCTTCCCCTTGCGCAGCAAGGGTGAGGTCACTGCGGTGTTGATCGACTGGATCCGCGCAGCTCGTCTCCAGCTTCGGAGGAGCTTTGGCTCTGACTTCCCTGTTTTGCGTCTGCACTCGGACAGAGGCGGAGAGTTCTCCTCTGGCCTCCTGAGTGCCTACTGTCGTGCGCGAGGCATCCGTCAGACCTTCACGCTTCCGGACTCACCACAGCAGAATGGGATTGCTGAGCGCCGCATTGGCATGGTCATGGACGTCGCTCGTACGTCCATGATGCATGCGGCTGCTCCCCATTTTCTGTGGCCGTTTGCGGTCAGGTACGCTGCGCACCAGATCAACCTCCACCCCAGGGTCTCTCGACCGGAGACCTCCCCAGCCCTGCTGTGGACGGGGAAGGTTGGCGATGAGTCGGCGTTCCGGGTCTGGGGATCTCGGGCGTTTGTTCGCGACCTGTCTGCGGACAAGCTGTCCCCTCGTGCTTCTCCCTGCGTCTTCCTGGGGTTCCCCCCCGACGCCCCTGGGTGGCAGTTTTACCACCCCACCTCTCGACGTGTTCTGTCCTCCCAGGACGTCACGTTCGACGAGTCGGTACCCTACTACCGCCTCTTCCCCTACCGCACTCCGTCCCTCCCCCCACCCCCGCTCTTCTTGGTACCAGGTCCCCCCCCGGTAGTCCCCCTCCCCCCTCAGGGTCCTGCCCCTTCAGGTGTGTCCCAGGAAGACGCGGTCGAGCCTGTCGAGGTCACTGGTGACTCTGGTGCTGCTGCGGGAGCTGAGCCTGGGGGTGCGGAGTCTGGGGGTGCTGAGCCTGGGGGTGCTGAGCCTGGGGGTGCTGTGCCTGGGGGTGCTGTGCCTAGGGGTGCTGAACCTGGAGGTGCCGAGCCTGGGGGTGCTGTGCCTGGGGGTGCTGTGCCTAGGGGTGCTGAGCCTGGGAGTGCTGAGCCTGGGGGTGCTGTGCCTGGGGGTGCTGAGCCTGGGGGTGCTGTGCCTGGGGGTGCTGTGCCTAGGGGTGCTGAGCCTGGGAGTGCTGAGCCTGGGGGTGCTGTGCCTGGGGGTGCTGAGCCTGGGGGTGCTGGGCCTGGGGGTGCTGTGCCTGGGGGTGCTTCGTCTCGCCGGGAGCCACTCTCCCCACAGGAGCTGCGAGAGTGGTTTGCCAGGCGCTGGAGGCGTGCTGCTGGTGCTGGTGGTTCTTCGGCTGCGGAGCGTACTGCTGCCGCGCGTCCCGCCGGTGCTCGTACTGTGGGTGCTGGAGCTGCTGGGTCTGAGAGTTCTCCTGGAGCTGGTACTGCTGAGGGTGTTGGCGCTGAGCCTGCCGTTGGCGGTCCGACTGACAGTGCTCCTGGTGCTGCTGCTGGAGGTTCTGGAGCTTCTGGTGGTGCTGCTGGAGGTGCTGCTGGAGTGGGTGCTCCTGCCGAGGCTGCTGGTGCTGTTCCTGCTGTTTCTGGCGTCGCCGCGCGGCCCCGACCGTACTTCGTTCCGCTCCTGCAGCAGGTTCTTGGTCTTACACCTCCTCCTCCTCCCTTAGAGGGTCCGCAGCCTGTCCGGTCACAGCCACAGCTACAGCCTGCCTCCCCTTTGCCTGCTCCTTCTCCCTACGCTGGTCCGACTGGAGGTCTTACTGAGCGTCGTGAGCCTGCGTCTCGTCCTGTGTCGCCTGTTCGTACTGAGCGCGCTAGTGGTCGCGGGTCGCGTCAGCGTCCTCCTCCTGTCCCTGGCACGCACCGGATGTCACTGCGTCCGTCCACTGCTCCTCTGCGTGCCCCTTTGCCTTCTCCTCCTGCTTCCTCTCTTCCTACTCTTGCCGACCCGGAGTCGGACTCTCTTCGTGGTGCCAGTCCTACTGTCACGCGTCTCCTTGCTACTGCTGTCACAGACCCTTCCTTCGAGTCGTCTGCTGCGTCTGCCCTTGTCACTGAGCTCGTCGACTTTGCTGCGCGCTGTCGTCTAGACTACGCTGCTCGTCTTGTCACTGAGTCAGAGTCCGCCTGTCCTCCGTCCGTCGGGGGTGAGTGTGCCCTTGGCACGGACGTCCTTGAGGACAGGCAGGAGGAGTTCCAGTGTCTGGCCGCCGCTTCACCTCGTCTCGCGTCTGTACTGCTAGCCCCTGAAGGAGACCCGGATGCACCAGACATCCCGACTCCGCGCTCTTACGCGGAGGCGATAGAGGGTCCCTACTCCTCTCAGTGGCAGGCAGCTATGGATGCAGAGATGGCTTCCTGGAAGTCCACAGGCACCTACGTTGACGCTGTTCCCCCTCCTGGGGCGAACATCGTCAGTGGCATGTGGATTTTCAGGGTGAAGCGGCCGCCGGGTTCTCCGCCTGTCTTCAAGGCGCGTTACGTGGCTCGTGGCTTCAGTCAGCGGCAGGGGGTTGACTACTTTCAGACCTTCTCCCCCACCCCGAAGATGACCACTCTTCGGGTTCTGCTGCACGTTGCTGCTCACCGTGACTACGAGCTGCACTCTCTCGACTTCAGCACAGCTTTCTTGCAGGGCAGCCTGCACGAGGAGATCTGGCTGCGTCGCCCACCTGGCTTCACTGGGACTTTCCCTCCTGGTACCCAGTGGAGTCCCCGGCGTCCAGTCTACGGTCTCCGCCAGGCGCCACGTGAGTGGCACGACACACTGAGGACTACGCTCGCGGCACTTGGGTTTGCTCCTTCTACTGCCGACCCGTCGCTGTTTCTGCGCACCGACACCTCTCTGCCGCCGTTCTACATCCTCGTGTACGTCGACGACTTGGTCTTTGCCACAGCTGACACTGCTGGACTCGCCTACGTGAAGTCCGAGCTGCTGAAGAGACACACGTGCACTGACCTGGGTGAACTGCGCAGCTACCTTGGCTTGCAGATCACCCGGGACAGAGCACGCCGCACCATTACCCTGACTCAGTCACACATGGTGCAGCAGGTCCTTCAGCGCTTCGGCTTCACGTACTCCTCGCCTCAGGCCACTCCTCTGCCTACTCGCCACTCGCTCTCAGCTCTGCCTTCGGATGAGTCCGTAGAGTCGAGTGGCCCGTTTGCAGAGCTTGTTGGCTGCCTCATGTACCTGATGACCTGCACACGACCTGACCTCGCATACCCTCTTAGCATTCTCGCACGCTTTGTTGCTCCTGGGAGACACCGACCAGAGCACATGGCTGCAGCGAAGAGGGTGTTGCGCTACTTGTGCAGTACGTCGGGCATGGGGCTAGTGCTTGGAGGGCGCAGTCCAGTGGTCCTCACTGGGCACGCAGACGCTTCTTGGGCTGACGACCAGGCTACGCAGCGGTCGTCACAGGGTTACACCTTCAGCCTTGGTTCCGGCTCTGTCTCGTGGCGGGCTACCCGCTCGTCTTCTGTTCTCGGCTCCAGTTGTGAGGCTGAGATCTACGCTGGGGCTATGGCTGCACAGGAGTTACGCTGGCTCACCTACCTGCTGACCGACCTTGGAGAGCAGCCTCGTTCTCCTCCAGTCCTGTACGTAGACAACAAGGCCATGCTGGAATTGTGTCGAGAGCAGCGACTGGAGCACAGAACGAAGCACATTGCTCTCCGCTACTTTCTTGCTCGTGAGCTACAGCAGCGTGGACAGTTGCGACTTGCGTACGTGGCCTCTGAGGCCAACACTGCTGATGTCTTCACCAAGGCACTTGCGCCTTGTGATCATCAGCGTTGTTGCACGCAGTTGGGTCTTGTGCCTGTCTTGCCTCACTTGCTCTCCTCTTGACCTTGCTTGTACCTTCGCCTATATATACTCTTGCTCTTGCTTGCTTGACTCTTGTATATCTCTATATATGATCTTGCATGTGAACTGGCCTTCTGGCCTTTGAACTTGTGCTCGGAATGCGTGGTGACTTTGTGATCCACCCTGAGCTTTGCTTTGCTTTGCTTGACTGGTCTTGTGACCCCTTGTTCTCCCCCACTTTGCCTATGGGGGTGTGTCAGAACATATAGCTTACTTGTTTCTGTAGGCTATAGTGGGGTATCCCATAGGGGGTACAACACAATTAGGGTTTCCTATTTGTATTCACTTCACTTCATAGTCATTCATCCTCGTTCACACTTTCTCATTAGTTACCTTTCAAACC